AAAGAGCTACCGGGACATAACCGGCATCCCAACCGGGACTAAAACCCAGAGTGCCAGTGCTGCAGGTGGAGGATTAGCCCAGTGAGCCACGGCACCAGCCATGTATACAACTTTTCATACCATCCCCTTTGGGTGTAAATTCTCACACAGATTATCTTTTAGAAAAAATTCTGGGGGAAATGACTTCTCTAGACTCTGCATCCTTACTTATTATCATCTTACACTAGGCCGAAACAGGTGTGGAAAGAAATCAGCCTTTTGGGGGCTGATTATTCCTTAGCTCAGAGGCTTCTTCCAGACTAAGCCCACTTATGATCACTCTCAACTTCCTATATTCCTGGGTCTCCTGGAATTCCCATCTGCTTGACCTTGCAGTGTGCCTCCTACCTTTTATTTGCCTCTATAAGATTTGTTATTCTTGCTGGCGCTGTGGTGTAGTGGGTTGAGCCACCGCCTGCGGTGCTGGCATCCCATAGGGTCGCTGATTTGAGTCCCGGCTGCTCCACTTCTAGTCCAGCTCTCTGCTGTGGCCTGGGAAAGCAGTGGAAGATGGCCCAGGTCCTTGGGCCCCTGCACCTGCATGGGAGACCTGGAAGAAGCTCCTGGCTCCTGGGTTCAGATCGGCTCAGCTCTGGCCATTTCAGCTATCTGGGGAGTGAACCAGTGGATGGAAGACCTTTCTCTGCCTCCCTGTAACTCTGCCTTTTGAATAAATAAATAAATCTTAAAAAAAAATTTGTTTTCCTGACTCCAAGTGGTTTCCTCATCCCCACAGAGGTGGCAGCTACTAGGAAGCACCCTTAGTCTCCACACACCACACCACAGCCAGGAGCCCTTGAATGCCCGGCTCCAGCAGGGTCCAAAGTGTGATCAGAACGGTGCTGTGGAGGGTGGTGGGTGGACAGACTTAGATTAGACATAGTGGCCACAGGCTTTCCGTAAGTTGGCACTCAGATTTCTTTTTTTCTCCTACCTTGCAGAAACTTAAAAAAAAAAGATTTCTTACTATTTTTTAAAAAATAGGATTTATTTGCTTCACAGGCAGAGTTACAGAGAGAGGGGGAGAGACAGAGATCTTGCATCCCCTGGTTCACTCTCCAAATGGCTGCAATGGCTAGGGCTGGGCCAGGTCTCCCACGTGAGTAGCAGGGGTCCCGGTAGTGAGGTCATCCTCTGCTGCCCTCCTAGGCACATTAGCAGGGAGCGAGATTGGAAGCAGAGCAGCCAGGACTTGAACCAGCGCTCGGATATGGGATGCCTGTGTTGTAGACAGCAGCCTAACCTGTTGTGTCACAACATGGCCCCCTTCAAAAACTGTGATTTAAGTGTCCCGTGAAGCAAACAGAACTGAGCCGTACACCTCACAATTTCCGTGACTGATATCATGTGCTGTGGGCAGATTTGTCACGTATCCAACAATTAGAATTTTTTCTCTGGGCTTTTGGTCTTTGGGGTGGGTGCTGAGCTATGCTGTCAACTTATTGTGTGTACTGAAGACACTTACCTCCTCTTGGGTCCTTGGTTTTAACACAGCCCCAGCCCTACCCTGGCCTCTGCCCCCAGCTGGAAGCAAAATTGAACAGAAATGCCTTATTGACACAGGAGAGTCAGCTGCCCAGCATTTATGGCTCAGCATTCTTTTTCCCGCCATACCCATTATTGCTACAGCGTCATGCTCAAATATTAAAGAAATTTCCCGGCCAGTGCTGTGGCTCACTTGGCTAATCCTCTGCCTCTGGCGCCGGCACTCCGGGTTCTAGTCCCGGTTGGGGTGCCGGATTCTGTCCCGGTTGCTCCTCTTCCAGGCCAGCTCTCCGCTGTGGCCCGGAAACGTAGTCCTTGGGCCCCTGCACCGGCATGGGAGACCAGGAGGAAGCACCCGGCTCCTGGCTTCTGATCAGCACAGCGCCGGCCGTAGCGGCCATTTGTGGGGTGACCAAATAGAAGGAAGACCTTTCTCTCTGTCTCTCTGTCTGTCTCTCTCTCTCTCACTAACTCTGCCTGTCAAAAAAAAAAAAAAAAAGAAAGAAAAGAAATTCCCCAAGCAATCCCAAATTTCCTTTAGTAAACTGCTTGTGGATTTTCTAAATGCTTCTCCAGTGTTGTGCTGTTATTATTATTTTATTATTATTTAAAGATTCATTTGAGAGGCAGAGTTATAGAGAGGGTTCACTCCCCGAATGACCACAATGGCTGGATCTGGGCCAATCTGAAGCCAGGAGCCAGGAGCTTCTTCCGAGTTCCCCAGATTTGGGTGCAGGGGCCCAAGCACCTGGACCATCTTCCGCTTTCTCAGGCCCTCAGCAGGGCAGTGGTTGGAGACAGAGCAGGTGGGACTCACATGGGCACTCTGACATGGGATGCCTTCATCAAAGAGGGCAGTTTAACCCACTGTGCCACAACATGGTCACCTATTGTGTTGTTTTTAGCAAATGTATTCTCTTGTGTTTTTTTTTTTTTTATTTTCTCATGTACACTAACAACGTGCTTTGAAAAGAAAGCATGAGAAGTCCTTGCTTAATAAACTTGTCATTTCCTTTTCCAAGATTGCCTCTCAGAAGAATCAATATCCATGTTTTAATAATTTTATTCAGTACATCTATAGTGTCTGAACTCCTTAGCCAATCTCATAGGTAGGTACTATTTTAAAAATTCCATGATATTGATGATGCCCAGCATAAAATATTGGATGTTTTCTTTTCCACTTTGTATGAGCGGCCTTCCACAAGTTCATGGAAAATGGATGTTATGTAAAAACTATGCATGGGGGGCCAGTGCTGTGGCGTAGTGGGTAAAGCTGCCGCCTGCCGTGTTGGCATCACATATGGGCGTGGGTGCAAGTCCTGGCTGCTCCACTTCTGATCCAGCTCTCTACTATGGCCTGGGAAAGCAGTAGAAGATGGCCTAAGTCCTTGGGCCCCTGCACCCACATGGGAGACCCAGAGGAAGCTCCTGGCTCCTGGATTCAGATTGGTGCAGCTCTGGCCGTACAGTCATCTGGGGAGTGAACCAGCGGATGGAAGACCTCTCTCTCTATCTCTACCTCTCTCTGTAACTCTGTCTTTCAAATAAATAAAATAATTATTTTTTAAAAAAAAGAAAATCAATCAGGGGGCAGGTGCTGAGGTATAGCAGGTAAAGCCACCGCCTGCAGTGCCAGCATCCCATGTGGGTTCCGGTTCGAGACCCAACTGCTCCACTTCTGATCCAGCTCTCTGCTATGGCCTGAGAAAGCAGTGGTAGATCCCCAAATCCTTGGGCCCCTGCACCCGCGTGGGAGACCCAGAAGAAGCTCCTGTCTCCTGGCTTTGGACCGGCGCAGCTCCAGCCATTGTGGCCATCTGGGGAATGAACCAGCAGATGGAAGACCTCTCTCCTTCTCTCTGTGTGTAACTCTGACTTTCAAGTAAATAAATATTAAAAAAAAAACTATGCATGAATCAAAATTATTTTACACCAAAAATATACTTACCTTCTAGTTCCATTTCCAAAATCTTTTTGAAGTCCCCTTGTATGTGATCAGGAAACAGATGCAGAAAATTACAAGCATATTAGAGAAAGTGTTACTGATAGAACAGTCACTCCTTTATTATCCACCTTGCATGATTATAAAGAGGACTGTGGGTTGGCACTGTGGCGTGGCGGGTAAAGCCACCACCTGCAGTGCCGGCATCCCATATGGATGCAGGTTCAAGTCCCAGCTCCACTTCTGATCCAGCTTTTGCTATGGCCTGGGAAAGCAGTGGAGGATAACCCAAGTGCTTGGACCCTGCACCCATGTGGGAGACCTGGGTGGAGCTCCAGATTCCTGGCTTGGGCCTGGACCAGCCTCTGCTGTTGTGGCCATTTGGGGGAGTGAACCAGTGGATTGAAGGTTTCTCTCTCTCTCACTCTCTCTCTCTGGTTCTCCCTTCAAATAAATAAATACATCTGAAAAAAAAAAAAATAAAAGGAAAGGGGCCAGCATTGTGGCATAGGGGGTCAAGCTGATGCTTGCAATGCCGGGATCCTGTTTGGGTGCTGGTTCAAATCCTAGCTGCTCCACTTCTGATCCAGCTCCCTGCTGATGTGCCTGGGAAAGCAGCAGAAGACGGCCCAATTCCCTGGGGCTGTGCATCCATGTGGGAGACCCAGAAGAAGCTCCTGGCTCTGTAGCTTTGGCCTGGCCCAGCCCTGTGGCTATTTGGGACATGAACCAGTGGATTAGAAGATCTTTCTCCCTCTCTGTAACCCTACCCTTCAAGAAAATTAAAAAAAAAAAAAAAAAAAAGGAGTCACAACTTGGTATTATTGTGTGTTGGCAATGCCTGTGGGAATGACTTTGTTTTCTTTTACTTGAAATTTTTTTCTAAATATAAAAGTAATACAGTTGCAATGAGAAATTTGGAAAATATAAAAAGGCATAAAGAATATTCAAATTACCTAACCTCCCTAACCTAGAAATGATTGAAATGATTATCGCTGTTAATATTTTGTATCCTGTCATTTTCTTTTATTAAAACTTAAGAAACAAAATTGGAATAATTCACTTTTAAATTTTGACTTTTTACATTAAAAACACATATACCTTCCTGATATTAAATTATCTGGGGTTAAAATATGCATTACAAACACCTGACTATTTTAAAGTATAGCATTCAAAGGCATGTAGCACATTCACAATGTTGTGCACCCATCACCACTACCTGGTTCTAACGTGCTCATCACCCCTAAAGGAAGCCTTGTAGCCATTAGTAATTGCTAGGCAGCCTCCTTCCTCCCCACACTCCTCCATCCCCAAAACCACTAACCTGTTTCCTGCGCTATGAATTTGTGTATTCTGGATACCTTGTATAATTCGAAGCATGCAATGTGTGACCTTTTGTGACTGGATTCTATCATTTAACGTAATGTTTTCAAGGCTCATATATGTGGTAGCCTGTGTTAGTAATTCATTTCTTTTTAAAACTAAATAATATTCCATTGTACGGATGTACCAGATTTTGTTTATTTAACAGACATTTTGGGCTGTTTCTACCTTTTGGCTCTTGTGAATACTGGTGCTATAAATATTGTGTTCAAGTTTTTGTTTGAACACCTGTTCTTTTGGGGATATACCTAGGAATGGAATTACTGGGTCATATGTTAATTCTGTGGGCTTTTTAAAATATTTATTCATTTATTTATTCAGAAGACACAGTGACAGAAAGAGAGAGACATGCAGACAGAAAGAGATCTTCTGTCTGCTGGTTTACTCCCCAAAGGCCACAAAGACTGGGCTGGGCCATACTGAAGCCGGGAGCCAGGAAATCCATCCTGATCTCCCGCTCGGGTGGCAGGGGCCCAAGTACTTTGGCCGTCTTCTTCTGCTTTCTTAGGCACATTAGCAGGGAGCTGGGTTAGAAGCAGAACAGCAGGGACTTGACCTGGTGCTCTGATACGCAGTGCTCACAAGCAGCAGTTAACCCACTAGACCCTAAGTCTGTACTTACTGAAGGACCACCAAATCGTTTCCTACAGTAGCAGCATTATTTTACATTCCTATCAGTGATGTGTGAGAATTCCAGTTTCTTTACATCCTAGCCAACACCTGTTTTTTGTTTTTTGTTTTAAATAATCATGCCCCAGATGGCCACAACTGCCAGGACCTGGGCCAAGCTGAAGCCAGGGAGCCAGGAGCCTCTTCTGGGTCTCCCACATGAGTGCGGGGGCCCATGGAATTGGGCTATCCTCTGCTGCTTTCCCAGGCACATTAGCAGGGAGCTGGGTCAGAAGTAGAGCAGTTGAGATTTGAACCAGCACCCATATGGGATACAGTTTTTAAAATATAGGCATCCCACCACCGGGTGTCATGAACCAAGGAGTGGCCCCTATGGTAGGGACTCCAGCTCCAGGTGGAAGTCCTTATGGACAACAGGTGGGAGTTTTGGGACCTCCTGGGCAGCAAGCACCACCTCCATATCCCGGCCCACATCCAGCTGGCCCCCCTGTCATACAGCAGCCAACAACACCCATGTTTGTGGCTCCCCCACCAAAGACCCAACGACTGCTCCACTCAGAGGCCTACCTGAAATACATTGAAGGACTCAGTGCTGAGTCCAACAGCATTAGCAAGTGGGACCAGACCCTGGCAGCTCGAAGACGTGATGTCCATTTGTCAAAAGAGCAGGAGAGTCGCCTGCCCTCTCACTGGCTGAAAAGTAAAGGGGCCCACACCACCATGGCGGATGCCCTCTGGCGCCTTCGGGATTTAATGCTCCGAGACACCCTCAACATTCGCCAAGCATACAACCTAGAAAACGTTTAATCACATCATTACGTTTCTTTTATAGAAGCATACAGAGTTGTGGAACAGTAGCCATTTTAGTTACTGGGGGTGGGGGAAGGAACAAAGGAGGATAATTTTTATTGCATTTTACTGTACATCACAAGGCCATTTTTATATACGGACACTTTTAATAAGCTATTTCAATTTGGTTTTTGTTATATTAAGTTGACTTTATCAAATACACAAAGATTTTTTTGCATATGTTTCCTTCGTTTAAAAAAATATATATAGTTATTGTGATAGGGATGAAGTGTTATTTCATTGTGGTTTTGATTTGCAGTTCCCTAAACACTAGTGATATTCTGTATCTTTTCATGTGCTTTTTGGCCATTTGTATATCTTTTTTAAAGAAATGTCTGTTCAAGACCTTTGCTCATTTTTTGTTATATTGGGTTCTTTGTGTTGAGTTGTAGAAGTGCTTTATATATTCTGGATATTAAACCCTTATCTATATGATTTGATAATATGTTCTTTTAGTCAGTAGGTGTCTTTTCACTCTCTATACTGTCCTTTGAGCACAAAAGTTCTAAATTTTGATTAAGTCTGATTTATGTATTTTTATTGTTGTTTTTGGTATCATATTTAAGAATCCTTTGCCAAATCCAAAGTCCTGAAGATTTATTCCTTTGATTAAAAAAAAACCGATTATTTATCTACTTGAAAAGCAGCTACAGAGAGGCAGAGAGAGAGAGAGAGAGAAAGTTCTTCCATCTGCTGGTTCACTCCCCAGCCAGGGCTTGAACCTACGCCCATATAGGATGCCAGCACTGCAGGTGCTGGCACTGCACTGGCCCCTATTCCTTCTAAGAGTTTTATAGTTTTATGTCTTATAGGTTTTGAGTTTTATAGTTTCCGCTCTTTGGTCCGTTTTGAGTTAATTTTTGTATATGGTGTGAGGGCAGAAATCCAACTTCATTCTTGTGCACGTGGAAACCTAGTTGTCTTATCACTGTTTGTTTAAGGATATCGAACACCTTTTGAAAACATGATTTTGGTGGCCATGTAGTATCCCATAGTGCATCACCCTGTTTTGTGGTGTTTCAGTGATGTGTATAGCTTACCCCTTGCTCACCTCTCTTTGTAGAGATCCTGTCCAGCTCACAGCCCCAGAAAAGGCAACCCCTAGAGCCATCAGTGCTTTTGGACATCAGCGATTGAACTGATAAAGGGAAGATACTCAGCCAAAGCTGTGCCCGTCAGATACTTACTCTGGGACTCTGGCATTGGGATATTGAGACTATGCCAGATAGATGTGTGGAAATGAATTTAAAGGTGAAATAAAGTCTGGAGACGGAGGTTATGATGAATTCTGTGTGAAGGGGATAGAGGAAGCCAGCTGTAAAAACACAGGAATGGTGCAGACACAGTAAAATAGTGAATATAAGAAATGGAGAGATTCGCAGTGTGGTAACTTTTAGTTTTCATGTATCCTGTGAGATTCTCTGCTTCCTGTAGTTCCTTCCTCTTTTCTGAAGTTAGTTTGGGTGGATGTCTGTTGCTTTGCAAATAAACTTTCCCTGAATAAGACAGTCCTTGTATTGGTCCTAAGAGACAGTAGACCCCGCTTAACTGGTTTAAGCCATAAAGGGCTCCTGCTGCTCAAATACCCAGAACACCCAGGGATGGCTTGATCCTGGGGTTCAAAAATGCCATTTACATTTGGTTCTGTCTATCTCTCATCCCATCCTCTTAGGAACTTTTGTCTTTAACCAGACCGTTAACAGTCGCAAAAAAAGAAAGAAGGAATACTTTACTTTGGGTCCTGCTAATCCAAGCCTGGGATTCACTCTGGTGTGAGTCATGGCCCATCCTGAACCACAGCCAGGGCCTCTGGTGCCAGGCCCAAGTCACTCGTCTGCTTCTGCTGTAGGGGAAACCTCACTGGAACCACATTGCTTGAAAATAAGGAGAGATTTTTTCCATAGAGGAGGTTCTGGATTCTGTTAGAAAATAAGAAAGGAATGGGAGAAACAACACAAGCTCAGTGCAGGAATTTATGTAAATGCTAATTTTTTGCCATTGCAAATAATACTGATGTGAACAGCTTTGTACACAAATGTTTGCTCCTATCTCTGATTTCTTTAGGATGTTACCTAAATTCTGTCTTTGCATTACAAACCACCCCAAACTTGCACCTTAACCCGACAACAGTGATTTCTCACTATTCTGTGGGTTGATTGGGCTGAGCCGGGAAGTTCTGGTCCTTGTGGTATGGATGAAGTCACTCCTGCGGCTGCCTTCATCTGGGAGTTTGACTCAGGCTGTCCCATCCAGCACAGTCTCTCTCCTGCTCTGGAGCCATTCCCCATGTGGCCTTTCCTCATTCCACGGTGTAGCTTGAGCTGTTTCAGTCTGCTGACTGGCTTCCCACAGGGAGAAAATGCAAACTAGCAGACTCAGGCACGCTGCAGAGCCAGCTCCCACTCAGAAGTATGCAAATGCCCTCCCAGAAATGGCAATACTGAGTGAGAGTGTGAGCCTATTTTAAGGCTCATGATGCAAATTGTGAAATTGTCCCCAGAAATGTCCTAAACATGTACAGTCACCCTCACCAACAGCATATAAGAGCGTGTGTTACCCCACATGGATGCCAGCCCTCAGTGTTTCACAGACCTAACGATAACAATGTGGCTGCCTTTTTAGAATTAGAGAGGTTAAGCTTTTTCATAGACTTACTGGCCATTAAAATACCCTAAATATCTATGCCCATAAGAAAGCTGATGCAGCACATATAATGTGCCGTCATTTAGTTTAATAAAAAGCATCTCACTGTGGAGTGTTGCGTGGGTGCCTCCCTGACACAGATAATCATTACCCTGAATTCTGTGTTTACACTCCCTTGCCCTTACTTTATTTCAATTTTTTGTGGCAGTTTTTTTGAGATGCAATTCACATGCTGTGCAATGAGCCCATTTCGGGCAGTTGTTTTTTTTTTTTCCTTAGGATTTTTATATCTGTGTTCAAGATTGAAATTGGCTTTTAGTTTTTTTTGTCGTATTACCTCTCTCAGGCTTACTAGGTGAGTTACAGTTGCCTTGTCAAATGATTTGGGGAAGACTCCTTCTTTCTCTGTATTCAGGAATATTTTGCATAGGACTGAAATGTTTCTTCCTGAGTGTTTACTAAAAACCACATAAGCCTGGTGTGGGTTTTTTTTTTTTTTTTTTTTGTGACAAGATTTTTTTTAAAGATCTATTTTATTTATTTGAAATGCAGAGTTACAGAGAGAGGTACAGACACACAGAGGGCTTCCATCCACTGGTTCACTCACCAAATAACCTCAAGGGCTGGAGCTAAGCTTATCTGCAGCCAGGAGCCAGGAACTTCTTCCAGGTCTTCCATGCAGGTGCAGGGGTGCAAGGACTTGGGCCATCCTCTGCTGCTTTCCCAGGCTCTTAGCAGAGAGCTGGATTGGAAGTGGAGCAGCTGGGACTCGAACCTGCACCCACATGGGATGCTGTTGCTGCAGGCTGGGACTTTAACCTGCTGCACCACAGTGCTGGCCCCTTATGGTAAGATTTTAAAATTCTGTTTTAATTTATTTTGTATACAAGTTTTGTATTTTTCCTTGACTCGGTTTCATTGATTTCTTTTATTTATTTATTTATTTATTTTTTTGACGGGCAGAGTGGACAGTGTGAGAGAGAGACAGAGAGAAAGGTCTTCCTTTGCCATTGGTTCACCCTCCAATGGCCGCCGCGGCTGGCGCACTGTGGCCAGCGCACCGCGCTGATCCGATGGCAGGAGCCAGGTGCTTCTCCTGGTCTCCCATGCAGGTGCAGGGCCCAAGCACTTGGGCCATCCTCCACTGCACTCCCTGGCCACAGCAGAGAGCTGGCCTGGAAGAGGGGCAACCGGGACAGAATCCGGCGCCCCAACCGGGACTAGAACCCGGTGTGCCGGCGCTGCAGGCAGAGGATTTGCCTAGTGAGCCGCGGCGCCCGCCTGATTTCTATTTGTCTAGGAATTTGTATATTTCATTTATGTTTTCAAATATATTGGCAATCTTTTCTAATAATACCTTTATATTTTCTTTTTAAAAACAATTATACTAATTTCTTATCTTTTTATTTATTTGAAAGGCAATCAGACAGAGATAGAGAGAGATCTTCCATCTCCTGGCTCTCTCCCCAAATGCCTGCAACATCCAGGACTGGGCCAGACCAAAACGGGGAGCCAGGAACTCCAGCATGGGTAGCAGGAACTCAAGTTTCTGAGCCTTCACTTGCTGCCTCCAGAAAGCTGGATTAGAAGCAGAGTAGGGGCCAGCTCTGTGGCGCAGTGAGTTAAAGCCCCAGCCTGCAGTGCCAACATCTCATATGTGTGCTGGTTCGAGTCCTGGCTGCTCCACTTCCAATCCAGCTCCTTGCTAATGTGCCTGGGAAAGCAGCAGAGGATGTTTCAAGTCCTTGAGCCCTTGTACCAATGTAGGAGACCTAGAAGAAGCTCCTGGCTCCTGGCTCCTGGCTTTGAATCAGCTCAGCTCTGGCAGTTGTGCTATTTGGGGAATGAACCAGCAGATGGAAGACCTCTGTCTCTGTCTCTGTCTCTGTCTCTGTCTCTACCTCTCTTTCTAACTTTTTCAAATACATAAAATAAATCTTAAAAAAAAAAAAGCAGAGTATCCAGGACTGGAGCCAGGTACTCCAAATGGAATGTGGGTATCCCGCGTGGTGACTTAAACCACTGTTCTCAATGCCTGTCCCCAAGTTTTCCCTTCCTTCCTTCTTTCCTTCCTTCCTCCCTCCCTCCCTCCCTCCCTCCCTCCCTCCCTTCCTTCCTTTTCTCCTCCTCCTCCTCCTCCTCCTCCTTCTTCTTCTTGATTTATTTATCTGTTTGAATGGTAGAATTAGAGAGAGAGAGAGGGAGAGAGAGGGAGGGAGAGAAAGAGAGAGATCTTTCACCCATTGATTCACTCCCCCAAATGGCCACAGAGGCTGGGGCTGGGCCAGGCTGAAGCCAGGAGCCAGGAGGTCCATCTGGGTCTCCCACATGGGTGCAGGGTCCAGGGACTTGGGCCATCTTCTACTGCTTTTTCAGGCCCATTAGCCGGGAGCTGGATCTGAAATGGAGCAGCCAGGACTTGAACTGGCACCCATACGGGATGCCTGCGCTGCAGGCCATGGCTTAGCTTTCTATGCCACAGCACCGGCTCCCCACGTTACCTTTTGATTATCAGAAGTATCTGAAGCTGTAGTTTT